TTATAGGTCAGATGGTATGGTGCAGTCCCAAGAGTTACAAACTGAGAGTTTAGGAGAGACTTGAGTTCTAAGTAGAAAAGAGCTCTCTTTGTCTTTCCTGCAGTGACTTGAGTGCATAAAGACCAAAAGTAATAGGTAAACTGAGTATAATTGAGTCCATGTTCTAAAAATATAACAGGTACCCAGAGAAGTTAGTGCAGTGCCTTCTTGTTTCTAATAGCAGAGAAAAATATGGAAGTGTTTTGGTGAATTACCAGGGAATGTCCAGCACATTCTTAACTTGCAATAGTCTCTTCTAAGCCTGGGACTCAATGAGGATCAATAATCAATGGGTGGGATTTAGCCTAAATGGTTCCCCAAAGTTGCTCGAGGCCCTCCCGTTCATCGATTTACTCGAGCGGGCCCAGGAACGTCTCCATTGGAGACTTTGTTGTTACTTTGTTTGGCATATCGAATACGTCACGGGGAACTTGCCAGGCTCTGCCGTGCGGGCGAGATACTCTCGGTAGCTTGCCGGGCTCTCCGAGAGGGGCGGAGATTATTGTTCTTTATTCTTCTTCATTCTAAATTCAAAGAAGAAAAATTTCTCAGTTATTGACAGAAAGGAACTGATTTTATCTTCTGTGTGTTTCTGCCTGGTATTAGTGGAATTTAAACACAGTTGTATAAAATAAGAACCATGTAGCAATAGAATCTCCCTTTCTTGTAAGACCACTCCGTAGCTAAACCCAATGGATGTCTCTTCAAACCACTTACATGCCAGGGAATTTTATCTCATCTGAATATGCTATGAAATGTAAGTATAAAGAAAATGTAAAACTTGTGAAAGAATGAAAACAATGTGATTTTATCTCCAGAAAAAAATTAACTGTGAATACTTATTGTCAAAATATTTTTTCCATTTTATTTAACAAGATAAATCTGAATGTCCACATTTAGTTTTTGAACACAATGTAAAATATTTTTTCCATCTTCCCTTGCATATGCGTGAATTTAGACATAGATAATTAGCAGTTTCTATAGAAATGCAATTGAGTCCTGACAGAAGGTGATATTCACTGTTTCCCCAGGTTTATGAAATTCATGAAGTGGACAGGCATGTCTTTCTCCCATGGCCATCAGGCCAGCTTCCACGGAATATGATAGAAACAAGCTCATCATAGTCATTCTTTGATGAGGTTTTTAGCTTCCAGTTCTACTCCATATCCAGAAACTCCCTTTCCTTGCTGCTGTTGTGCAGTATGATCAACTTTTCTTCCATCTAATGTGCGAAATCAAATGTCCTTGTCAAGGACCAAAAAACATAGCAGCAAGTCATAGTCCAGCTCATTTTTCATCACCATCACAAATGACTAAGCACTTATTTGAAAATATCTGTTGCTTGAAAGATACAGATTACAAAGAATACCAAATACATGTACTAACAGTTCTGATAAAAATATTTACCTTTAAATTTGGCAGGCCAACAATTAGGTATAGAGAAAGAATTGGGTATTTCTCTTTGAGTTGGATTCTTCCTAGAATCACTTGGTTAACATATTTTACTTGGATAGTATATTTATTTGGTCCAATGTCAGAGATTTGTTGAATACAGTCTCTGAACTGGTAGGTCTGTGAAGCCAATAGATTAAGGTCAGAGGGTAAGCACCTACTTTAGGGAATGAAAAGAACCCATCAAGTACTGTCTCCACTCACTGAGCAGCAGCCCTTAGTTCCTCACTGCATCACAACATTTGCTTTTCCAAGTAAAATGGCAATGTCATTTCATGGAATAACATGATACTTTATTGGTTACATATTTTCTGGAACTCCTACAAGTTAGTGAAAACTGTACTATTTACAAATCAGCAAGTATGCTAACGGGCTCCCAATATGTCCGCAAGACAAAAATATACAAGTTATGGTAAGCTTGTGGCAAGAAGCCTTAAAAAAATAACAGGAAGTTTGGATGCAAATTGAGAGATGAAAATATAGGTCATATATTGTAAAGGAACCATACAAGGGAAAATATTTTTGAGAAACACATACAACCATATTATCCATGAGGGAATTGAATACATAAAAATAAAATATTTGATAATCTACACTGTAGTACAAAAATAAATACATCCATCAATAAATAGTAGGTAGCCTAGAAATGCTTAAGTGGATATTCTGATTCGGGTTCCCAAGTCTCTCTTCTATAATTCTCCTTTAGTCTTAAAGGCTTGTCAACTTCAGCAGTAAGGATACTGCCATGAAGTATAAAAAAGACTGGCATGGGGTGTTCGAATCTTTATGCAGAGAAGCTATTAAGTAGGCATTCTGAATTCAAGAATATAACTATTTCAGGACTTCTGTGAAGGTGATATGGATAAGATGTGCTGCAAGAGAACTGATAGAAACTGGTTTATGTCCTTTTTTTAATGAAAAGCAAACAAAGAAATGCAACTAGCAATACTTGAGTATCCATTATATGGTCCTTTCCTTAAGGAAGAAAATCATGTTAGCCCTCATGAACAGGCTTCTTCAGAAACCTGCAAAGTGACAGAGAGCATGGTGGGGAACATGGCGTGACATGATCAGTAATATATGTCAGCAGCTATGAATGGCAGGGAGGGGAAGCCAGATCTAGCACACAAGGCTCCTCAGATCCCACTGTTGTTGGAATTTTGTAGGCTGTTTGACATCACCTTGGTACCATGATGGGAGTAATTGCACCATTAAAATCCACAAAGCAGCCCTAATCTCCCAGATTTCAAACTGTAAAACATTTATCAGCAACCACTGTCATACATTTTACATATAAAGATAACTTTGCTTGATTTTTATCTAGCCAGAACTACCTTGCTCAGTGGAGGTTCTGTTCTATGGGATGTTAAAGTCCATTATGGAGGATGAGAAGGACCATACAGTGTGCACCATGGGTAGGAAGGACATGCTTCATACCCCAGGGGACACTAAGTGTCACTAACAAGAGCCAGTGAAACACATACATGTACACACATCTGCACAGCATTTTATATGGAAGTTAGTCCATGAATGATTCTGAGTTTCCAGGCCATCTCCAATGGTCAATCACTACATACTCACTAATGCTCAAGATACACTCTTCTAGGGCAATGGATTCTCCAGGATTTGCCTCCTGGAGACTGTGGGCAAATAACACATAGAACAAAGGTCCAAAATAGGCAAAATATTCTTCAAATTTATCTCTCTTGCCTCTATGCTCTAGTGCAGTACGAATTCATAACTTTGAGAGATGTGTGAAAGGGAGACAAATGGTGTCCCAGGGTGAATAAATAGTACAAACACTCCAAGGAAAGCTTTCCCCGGGGTGAGAAGGGGACAATGCCCTGGGAACTCCAGTTTTGATCCTAGTGTGAACCATCTGTGTTGCCTGCTGGGAGGTATCAAAACAGTTTGATAACTTCACTGGTTCTTCCCGTGAAAATGTATGGGTGAAGGGAGGAGGTGCAGAAACCAAAGCCAGAACCTCCATGTCCTTCCAACCTGTGCTGGCATATTCACAAGACCACTCCTGTCCCTTAGTCCTGCCTGTTTCAAAGGGGAGGACTGCAGAAAGGGGAGAGTCAGGGAAACTGCAGGTTGTTACTGGGGTAAACTTGGTTGTAAAATGCAGATTTGGCTTACAAGTCATTTGTCTGTGTAGTTATTGATCTTTGTATTTAAATGTATCCATTCAAAACTTGGTTTTATTTTTCTTATAAATAAATATCCTTCATGAGCAAAATCATACGTAGGGGATGTTGCAGTAAAATCTAATTAAGAATCAGAGAGTTCGAGATGACTAAAAGCTAGAGCACTAACTCCTTTCACTCTGAGAGCTCATGATGCCACACGGTCCCTTTCAGACTGCAGCAGGAGCAAGGCAAACCCACTAGCTCTGGGGACACAGGCTAGGAAGAGGACAGTTGGCACCGGGGCAAAGAAGAAAGAGGGAAAAGATGGAAAAGAACAAAGGCAGAGATGCAGACACCAGGTAGAAAAGTTAAGAACTGAAGGGAAAAAAACACTAAGAAACAACAAATACAAAAAACAGATTCCTTCTGATTTTCCTCCTCTAATCCTTGTCAATTTTATTTTTTCTAAAAGATTTAATTTTTCAATTAGAACTGCTTGTTGTTTTCCAAACACATCCAAGAATACCATCTATGTTCCTTCCCCCTCATTCCCCAGACCCACTTCCACCTCCTCTACCCTCTGCAGCACTAAAGCCAACACAAGTGGCCTTATTTTCCTAGTATCTCAGGAATAGATGTCATCCTGCCATCCTCTCTGTTTTCCCTTCTTGACCAGGAGCTGTCCTCTAGAGCACATTAATCTCTCAAGGGTTCATTGTCTGCCATTGTGCCTTAAGGTGACTGCCTCTTGAAGTCATTTGGGTTAACAAAATAACCCCTCCCCTCAGACATGCAGCATCCTTTCCCAGGCCCTCTGGCTCTGAGCTAAGGCAGAAGCTCAGTAGATAAAAGTTACACTTATATTTCCGATAGTATTTGGAAATCTAACACTTTCTTCGATGTTTACATTCCTGGTGTTAATGGTCTTGAACATAAAACATAAATCCTACTTTGAGAAGAGGTGACTAAGAACATATTATTGGCTTTTTATATATACACACTTGATCGAGTATGTGTGAGTATAATCTCTAGAACCAAGTTCATCTATGTACACATATACAACATAAATATCTATCTCCTGACACTGCATTTCTGCCTTTGGGTCATTGTATTCAAATGGACATAAAAGACAAGTAGTAAGAGTTTGCTTGCCACTTCTGTTAGAGATAACACTTTCTAGAAGTGGCAACTCTGAATTAAAAACAGATTGAGAAGGAAGGGACAAGACTGTAGAGTATGTGTTTCCTATAACTGACCTGTCAGATTCCCGAAGGCAGCAAGCATCTATGATCTGTACATCTCATTAAATAATCTCATTAAATAGAAACACAAAATATACACATTTAAAGTTATTAAATATGTCACAGGACTCTTTTTCTATCTACAGCCACATTCAGACACGGCCATCCCTTCATATTTAAACTTGTAGGTAACAACACCTTTGTCTAAATAGAGGATAGAGATGGGCTCTAGCTTGGTGGGCACACAGCAGACTTTGGAAGCCTTCTGGGAATTCTTGAGGTGGACCAAGGCCTGGATAATTGCATGCTTTGTGGGTGTGAGATGCTCTGCAAGTGGATAGTTGCAAACACCGCGACATTCATAGGCTTCATATCCAGGCGGAGCAATGATCCAAGAGTCCCAACCAATCTCTTTGAAGTCAATGTAGAGTGGGGTTCTCTTGCAATAATTTCCCTTGGCATTCCTTCTGATGCGGGCAGTGGAGTCATAAATGATGTTTGACCTCATCTGCAGAAGAGCCTCTTCACCAGGTCCATTGGAAAAATCATCCAGCCCCACATTGTCTAACTCCAAAAGTTGCTCATGTGAGATCATTTCATTCAGTTCCTCTTTCTTCTCCTTGTCACTGCTTTGGTCATCTGAGAACACTACAATCAAAGGAACATGCTTATTCTGGGCACTGGTGTCTATTTCCAGTTGTCCTTTGATGGTGTCTTCAGCTTCATCATGTCTGCTCTGAATGTGGACCTCCAGCTGATGGGTGGATGGGCCTGACTTTTGCCAACGTTTGATGGCCTCAGTAACATCAAAAGTCTCCCACTCACTGTTAGTTCCATAGATTTCCCCAGACACCAAAGCAAGCATGCTTCTTTCCTCCTCATTGTCCTCTTTGCCTTCTAGTACTTCAAAAATGGTAACTTTCCGGTCCACTCCTTCAAATATCATGCGATCTCTTTGCACCAGTGTGTACAACCTGAGTTCAGCCATGATTACCTCTTCATGGTGAGGGATAGACACATTGAAGAGCAGAGGATATTTTCGGAGCCCATTAAAACTATCTGGTTGGGAAAACAAATCTGAGAGGGAAATGCAAAAGTTAGATATTCAATATGTATCAGAGAAAAACAGATGCTTATTTGTAAGACAAGAGGATCTTTTCATATAGGATCTTTGATAGCATGAATGAGGGGAGAAGAACAATGTAAAAAATCAACTCAAAGTCAGCATTCTCTGATACAAATGTACCTGATGAAATGCAAAACTGAATTAAAGATTCAAGGCTAAAATGAAGAATGGCTGCCTTATGAAAGCTTTGAGTAGAATATCGATCACCTGGTAATAGACTTGGAAGAACCTTAGAGATTATGCAGGAAATGCCTCCAAATTATCTAACCTCTGATTAGCTATCCAATGGGATGTGTGGTGGTGGTTCTTTTCTAGAAACATTTCAAAGATACAGACTTATTACTTTTCACATTTACATTTATAATAGCGTGATATTAGTAGATAGTTAGCTGGACACTGTTCTTCCTGAAAAACCTCCATGTAGACCAGGAATTGGTAAACACTATAGCTCATAGACCACCTGCATGGGAAATAATATTTCTATGGGAAATAAGGTATTATTGAAGCCTAGATTCTCTCAGTTGTTTTTGTATTGTTTGTGGGTACTACTATGCTACAATTTCAAAGATTAAATAGTCACAAAGAAAACATATTTACTATGTATCTGACCTTTTGCTGAAATAGGTTGATGACCTTAGGGCCAAAGATATGGCATAGGGTAAAGTACTTGTCTTGAATGTCAGCAAGCCCAGTTTGCTCCCTAGCACCACAGCACCCCTGAGTACAAAACAAGGAGGAATCCCTGAGCACTGCTGGGAGTGACGCAAAAATGAAAGGTTACTAATCTCTGATTTATACACTAACATCTGATGAAGCCAACAAGATAACCAAATACCAATGAAATCATAAGAACTTAATTCTGTTTGTATTGTCTGCTACAAGGGGAAATGCTTGAAAATTATACCCTGAAGTTAGATTGCTTTAGTTATAAAACTTAGAACTCTTCATTTCTGGTGGAGAGTTTGACATAGATGGGTGATTAAAAAATATTTATAAAATAAAATTGTAAAAAGACATTCAACCTTGAAAGCATGCCTCCAAATGTCATCAAAGCAGTATGGGGAAACTTTAAGGGCATTGAGCATCAATGGGTTTCATGACACCAAGGATGCTAGATATTAGCCAGCCAAGGGTTATTAGAATCTTTGACAGCACTTTTCTAACAGTACACATGTATATAAGTTCATTATTTCAATGGGGTATTTTCTATAGATAGTCCGCTTTGATATTTTTCTTATCTAAGAAAATTATTTGTATAATATACAAATAATTTTATTTGTACTTGTCCCAAATAACAGAATTTTTGTTTATTTATTTATTTTGGTTTAGAGGGCACACCCAGTGGTGCTCGACTCTTACTCCTGACTCTGTTCTTAGGGATCACTTCTAGCAGGCTCAAGAGACCATATGAGGTGCCGGGAATCAAACCCAGATCATCCACTTGCTAGGCAAATGCCCAAGTCACTGTACCATCGTTCAGGCTCTAGTAGAAGCATTTATGAAATGTAGTTAATGGAGTTGAAAGTTCTGTGGATTTTTACCTAATACACATGAACAAAAATATATCCACATTTTCAAAACAGACATTTCATATGATTCAAAGCTTCCTCTGGGTACCACCAACAATCATCTCTAAAACTGGCAGAGGAAAACGCTGCTCAGCTGAATGAAGTTAAATTCTCTGGCATGGATCTCAAAACCAGCTGTTGTCACACTTTTTCCTATAGGGAGGTGAGGAAGGGAGAGTCCACAGGGAAGGGTCACAGCTAACTATACTAACAGTGAGAGCTCCCATTCGTCCTTTGCAGTGCAATGCAATTGCTCAATAGATACTAGTTGAGAGATTAAATAAGTTCTACACCCTCTAGTTTATTTTTCTTTATTTGGGGTTGGGGAACTTGCAAACAGTGCTGAAGATATTTAGGGACCACATGGGAGATTCTGGGTCAACAGGGCTGTAGATTCAATATAACAGCCAGAGGATGTGATGCTGCTTGGAAACCCCTGGGGCACCTGGGAGGTGTTGGGGAGCTTTCAGAGGTGCATCAGGTTCATGCTAGGTATGCATACTAACAGCCGTACTATCTCTTGGTGCCTATATTCCCCCATTGAAGGTAAACTACTGTCTTTGCAATTTGCCAAACAACTTTTGCTTTATGGTACATTGCACCTTGGGTGTATTCTTCTGATCTGTAGAAACCCTTTCCCCTTAATTGCTACCATTCTAGCTGTGACCCTTCCCTGTGGACTCTCCCTTCTTCACCTCCCTATAAGGAAGTTTATTCCTTTTAGGATCACTAGAATGCTTACCCTGTGTATCCCTCCTTTGCTATTTATATCTTTGTATTTCAGTTGCTTTTTTTTATGGTGGTAGGAATTGAATCCAGGTCTACTGCATGCAAGGGAAGAAGTTTACTGTTGAGCAACATCTTCCACCCTTCATTTGTCTCTTTTTCTTTGCAGGGATTCAGCCATATTCAGCACTGCAGGGTGGTGGGATCATTCCTGGTAGTGCCAGGGACCCCGGCTGCATGCAAGTCAACATCAATTGACTTACTAAGACTGGATCTTCCCAACTAGATTATCACTATACTGAACTGTATCACATTTAAATTCCTTTTTATGCCTTTAAACTACCATGATGACTTTAAGTAACACTTAAAAATATTGATTAACTGATGATTCTGGACACCAGACCAAATTGACTTCTGAACATAACAAATGTCCTTAATAACAAGTGGCTTGGCAGCTGTCATCCCCCTCCTACAAATAAACAATATTTGACTCCCCTTGAACAGAGAACAAGAAAAGGCAAGAAATTTGGGAGTAATATGATATTGCTTAATCCATGGGAAAATGAAGAAAAAGTAAAAGAAGGAAGTAATTACAATGAACAAAAGTTTGGGTGGTATAAGAGAAGTTTCATATTTTGATGGTAGTGATGTTTTCAGTGGATGCTTACAAGCATTATTTCCTATCATATTAACACTTCAATTTGAATGTGTACTTTATTGTATGTTGATTATATTTCAATAAAATTGTTAAAAAAAATAAGTTCAATGTGCATGGTGCCTATGCACTCAGAGCAATGAATACAGGTGCAACATTTCAGAGCAAGGCAATTAATACTTGTTGATATAATTTCATGTGCCAGGCACTTTGCAATATTTCCTTATTTAATTATTACAATTAAAAATAAAAGTATTACTATTCTGTTTAATTTATAGCATAAGAAATTGAGCCTCTGGAGCAGGAACAGCCTCTAGGGCACTTGTCTTACAGACAACCTGGGTTCAATTCCCAGCACCCCATATGGTCCCCTGAACCCATCAGGAGTGGTCCCTGAGCACAGAACCAGGAGTAAATTCTAGCAACACCAAGTGTGGCCAAAAACCAAAAGGAAAAAAAACTTTAAAAGTTTAAAACAAAAACTGAGCTTCAATCAGTCAGAATAGTGGTAGTAGCTCGTCAAGCATTTTCAACCATGAATGTGGCTTATTTTCACATTAGTTATTTTGAGGATCTTTCTATTTTTTGAGTTAATTTTTTATTTTTTTTATTTCACATTAGTTATTTTGAGGATCTTTCTTTTTTAAGTTAATTTTTTTATTTTAATTTTTTAATTTTTATTAGTGAAACATCATGAGGTACAGTTGTAGACTTACAAATTTTTGTGCTTGGGTTTCAGTTATACCAAGGATCTTTCTTATTAGGGAGCTGCAGTAACCAAGCAGCTGAACAGAGAGGGAGAAACAGCCAAGAGGGTGAGCCCAGTGCAGAATTCTGATCTTGAGGTTTCACATTTCCACCCACACACTGTGAGAGGTGTGGGCATCTGGATTGTCCAGTAAGAGATCTGCCCTGACTTTCCTGAAACAAGTTCTGTTAAGCTCCACTTCCTGACCTGAATCCTCCTAGTCCTCCCACAACAGAAGAGAGAAGTGTGTGTGTGTGTAGGGGGATACTCCTTCTTTCCCTGGAGGATATAAACATGTTTCCCACCCATTCTCAGAGGCAGGCCCTTAGGGCTCAGAAACATGAGGACATCTCTCTGGAAGAAAGCTGTTCATTTTCAATTTTCAAACTTACCTCCAGAAGAAATCTGTAATTTCAGATTGCCATTTCCGTTATATTACTAAGTGCTGCTAAATAACATATCCAATGTTACTAAATATTACCAATTTGATTAGTCAACTAAAGTTTAGAGGTAAGTAGCGGTATCTCAAGGTCTGGGGAATTTAAAATTTAAAGGTAAATAATATCTCAAGGTCTAGAGGACTCAGCATTTCCTCAAATGCCTGCAGTTCAAAAATTAATTAGTAGTAATTAGTAGTTTTGTTAAGCACTTATTAGAAAATGGAGTGCTTTCTAATGTTTACCTCTTTTGAATCTCTTAGTTGGGTAATATAAGTATATTATCTGAAATTCATGGATGAGAAAATTTAGGTTCAACTAAATCTAATCATCTATAAGCTAATGCACTGTCAAAACTCAAAATCCTGAGCTATTATTTATTTTCCACTACTTTCTACTTTAAGAACTACTGGTCAACATTGATCTAAAATTTCTTTTGTGCCTAATTAAAGACTATAATAACATAAGTAGTAAATACTAAAATTTTTCAGTTATTCATATCTACAGTTGTTATTGTGGATATTAGAAATAGAAAAGTTTAGTCTGTTAACATTAAACAGAAAGTCGATCTGTGTTTTTATATTTAATTACTGAATTTAAAGATGTGGGGAGAGTTGTGGAGGAGAAAACACACTTTTAACACCACCAATAAGGCTTATTAAAAAGCTTATAAATTACTTTTCATATACACACAAAAATAAATTGGATTATTAATTAGACCGTGTGAACTTTCTGGAAACTAAAATCAGTGTACCAAGGATATGAGTCAGATCAATCACGCAACCACTTTAGAATCTCTAAAATGTTACCATCCTATTCCACATCTCCTAAATATGATTTGAAAAGAGAAATCTATCCGAAGTTTGAGGGGAAACTCAATCACAGCTCTCTGTGGCTTTTTTGGTCAGTTTTTATTCTAAGTGAAGTGAACAAAATTTGTAGTTTGGAAAGTAGCAAACGTGTAGTAGGAATACAATATTAATTTCTCCTTTTTTGCAAAAGTTTGGACCACACCTAATAGTGCTAAGGGTCATTCCTAGCTCTGCACTCAGGAATTATTCCTGACAGTGCTCTGGGGATCATATGGGACTGCCAGGAATTGAACCTATGTTGACCCTGTGAAAAGTAAATGCCCAATAAATCGCTCTGGCCCCACACTATTAATTTTGAGTATAGTATTAATCCAAATTAAAAAATGCTAATGAGCTACTTATGATGTAAAAATGATAAACACTTTGTGACTTTGGATTGAATGGTATTCTTTGATGCCTTTTAATAACATTTAGAAATGATGAAAACAATATAAAACATCCATTGCTTTTGTGTATCTGTGTACACACAGCCTTATGAAAATATCTCTAGTATCTCCATATGTTATTACTTTACTTACTACTTTTGGGAAAACATCTAAGCCATAAGGCAGCAGTGAAAAGGTGATCTTACCTTCATTCTTGAAACTTCTGATGATGTTGGCAGATGGCATGGAGGAACGGTCTGTTGTGAATTTGTTGTAGAGTTCCAACATGTACTCTGGTGGGTCAACCTTGCCTGAATCCTGCATGGGGATGTCAGACAGGTTCAATGTCTTGAGAAACTCATTCTTCATGCTCTGCAGCAGAGTGCTAAAGTCGACTCCATCTTGTTCTGAGAAGACATCGTCGAAGAGAGGCATGTCTTCTTCCAGAGGAGACTGCTCCAGGCTCATGATGGGGCTGCCAGAAACCCAGTGAGCCCCCAGGCATAGAAGAGCACACAGCTGCAGGATCAGAGCGCCCATGACTGTGCTCAAGCCCCCAGGCCAACCGGGGCAGCTTTAACTCTCCTGAGCTCCAAGTGGCAGTTTTATCTTGTGGAACGTAGATGTCTCATGTCACTACAGACAAGTTTGGAAACTCTTCTTGGTTTCCCTCCCCCTACCACTCTTCCTCTCCCCGCAAAAGTCAGGTTGCAGTAATTGGATAGCAGAATCCTCTATAGGGGCCCAGCCTTTCTTATCTTCCTAGTGTAAACTTGTGCACCAGATTTTGTTTCTATCTTGCAATCCTTTTTTCTTTTAATGAGCATTTTGTAAACATTTTCACATTCTGACACTGACTTGAATTGGAGACAGGACAATTTTCTCCTAGCAAAGGCTCTGTTTCTCTTCCTTTTAATTCACTTCCTTTTGGCAGGATTGCCTAAATTCTGCTTTTATGTGGTCCAATTTCACACATATAGAGCATAGATATTAAGAATCAACACAATACACATCAACAGCTATATGCATTAATTCAAATGATGGACTTCTCTCCTGCCATAAGTGTTTCTGAAGACTAAATATCCAGCATTTTTAAGTTAATTTGTTAATAGATAGTAACAAAGTTTTATGTGAAGACAAATTTACATACTGAATGATCTATTAAACAAAAGGACAATTTTGGAGTAGAATAGTCTTTCAATATACTTTCTGTGTATGGTAGCCCAAAATTTTTCTGTAAACTTTGCATTTAAGGAGGAGCATGAATCATAAAATGACCATGCCCATTGCTATGATCATTTTATGACCCTGTTAACCTTCATGACAAGAGCTCTTTTTTCCTATAGATTTGATCTGACTAGAATTAATTCCAAAAACTAAGCTGAGTGCATAATTAATATAACAAATAAAATTGAGTAGGTGTTTTTCTACCAACAGGCATCACACTAAAAAGTTTATATTTACCACTGAATATGCTCCTTATAAAAGTAAATTTCTAATTAGCTTTCACAAATAAGGTCACTAAAGTCCAATTATTTGGCAGAGGTCACAGAGATATGCATTGAGAGAATCAGGACTTCACCTCGGTAGTTTGAATCTGGGGCATGGACAGTGAGGCCATAAGAGAGGTCAGACCCAACCCTTCCCCGGGAATCTATAGGCAGCAGGCAGGCAACTATTTACAGCTGAAAGTGGAATTCTGGCCTGTCACCCTTCAAAATAGTATTTGATTGTCCAATATCCAAATCCATCATTTGGGGATAAATGAACCGGATCAGTGAATGTCTCCAGTAAAAGTTTGGTAATCATTATGAGGCAGATGAAAATATCAAATGCCTTGATCTGGAAACCAATGGGGGTATTAATGGTGTGTCTGGTTTAGGAAAATCAAGTCCAATTCATCCCAATTTCTGATCCTAATTAGTAAAGTCAACAACGTGGTGAAGTAAAGGAGTCATGTAGACAGCCTCAGAGGCTGCTTTATCCCTGACTTGCACCAGGCACACCCTAGACTGTGCTCAAGGGCCGATGCCCAGATATCTACTACCTTTGAATACCCTCTGTTTCTGAGTTAAGTTATCCTATACTTCTCCTAAGGGATTAGTGACAGCATCTCCTTTCCTTCTTTCTTTGGTGTCCTTAAGGTGTATGGTCATTTTATGATTCATGCCCCTCCTCAAATGCAAATTTTACAGAAAAATTTTGAGCTACCATATACAGAAAGTATGTTGAAGGACTATCCTACTCCAAAATTGTCCTTTTGTTTAATAGATCTCTTTCACTTAAAGTCTTGTGCCGCTATGAAAAAGCAAATCATAGACTGAAAATAGATTTATACCTGGAATGCTTACGTGAATGAGTCCAAGGGCCATCGGTCATTCTGCAGGTAGTAACATTTGAAGGGAGGGTTCAGACAGCATACCAGCAGGGTCTTTGTATCACGTCCTGCATCAAAACCAGCACCCGTTTATCTTTACACACATACAGATGTCAACGCACACTCCAAAACTCTGAATGGCAGGCATGTGCGTGTAACTGTTACAGGACAGCAGAGTAAGTGGCAGTACTTAGAACCCTGACGCGATGCTTCCAAAGCTCAGAAGGATAGATGACCCCTGCACCTTGCAGAGATAGATTTTTGATATTCTTAGGACCAAGGCATGCACCTGAGACTTCATAGGCTTTTGGGTGAGTTCTCAGTATTAGAGAAACCATAGGGTTAAATATTTGGAACAGTCTATCCCATATAAATGCACATCTAGCAGATTGATAGAAAAGAAACAGAAACATGACCATAAGAAGATACTAATGTGCCAATGTGAGTAGGGGTGGGGGGATGGGTGGTGCCCTCCCCCTCCCCCTTCCCCTTTCTCGTCGTCCCGCTGATCTCTAGCTTTCTCTTTTTGATTTTTGGGGTCACCCTCAGTGATGGGCTGGAGTGATAGCTCAGTGGGCAGGGCGTTTGCCTTGCACGCGGCTGACCTGGGTTCGATTCCTCCATCCCTCTCGGAGAGCCCGGCAAGTGACTGAGAGTATCCCACCTGCATGGCAGAGCCCGGCAAGCTCCCCGTGACGTATTTATATGCCAAAAGCAGTAACAACAAGTCTCAGAATGGTGCCCACTTGAGCAAATTGATGAACAACAGGAGGACAGTGCTACAGTGCTAATGTGCCAATATCCCAATACCCAATACCTCTTGAAATGCAAGGTTCTGAATCTCATACCTATATTGGTGGGGTGAGGAAGGAGAATGGAATTCTTACCTGGAAACAGGAGAAATAAAAATTCCTCCCCCTTCTATGCCAGGCTTTAGTTACAGTCTCTTGATCAACAAGATTTTCTCTATAACTTTCCTGAAAGACTCTCATCTGTCTCTAAATGGTTCAGACATCCCTGTATTCCTTGCTCTGTTTTGATTTTTCAGGGTACAGCATATCTTTTTGATTTCCACTAACATAACTAAGTTGGATCTCAGTCATTTGGAATTGCTATTTGTTTAAAGTAAAAATTATTATTTTTCTGAGCCAAAGGTATGAAAGGTATGTCCAGACAGTTTAAGGGAAGCCACACAAGTAGAAAACATTTTTTAAAAACGTAGATTGCACACTATTCTTTTCAATCTTACTGAAAAAAATCCTCCCAACTTTTCTTTAAACACAGTTTTAGGTCACTTTTTAAGAAAGTTCCAATAACTGTACAAATATGACGTAAGATAAAACTCTGGTTTCTCAAAGGCATCTGTGATCTAGATCAGGTTAAACCCACAGCACCATATCCATACAATTTCTGGTATTCTCTGTGATCAATTGATAGATCTTGAATAAATGTGATGAATACAGTTCTGCTGAACAAAGGTCGATGAATGTTTGAGGTTTCTGAGCAAGTCTCCAGATCCTTAGAGTCCCCATTGCCATAGATCCTAGTATGATCCTAGTATCACCTAGTATGATACTACTCTTTCTACCTGGTTAATAATTTTCAGGATTTGGGGACGTACCTTCTAAAATGTGATAAGAAAAAACATTAGCTTTATCAAAGGTTACATTCAATCTAAATGTAGAAGCTGCAGTGCTTGAGCAGATCACAGATGTCGTAAGCTTTACCTCTTTGGGATCTCAACCCTAGGGAAATCTGGGAATATCCTGGGAGAGGGCCAGGGACTGCAGCTAGTACCAGTCTATATCAGAATGTTTAAATATCTTATTGTCACAGAGTACTGTGGTATTATATGTAACAGATGGACCTAAGTTCTGCTAAAATTGTTAAGCCAACACTCTTCCGTCTACAAGCTGTTAGAATTTGCAGCTGTAGCACCAAGAGAGATGGTCTACACTGATGACTATCTTGTGTGCCTTCAGAACGCATTTTGCAACTACTCTCTCATTCTCCAGTCCAGATTTTGTCCTTTGTTCCCAATTCTAGAAGAGAATTTGAAGGTGCTTTAATCCCTGGGAAGTGTCAGGGAGGAAAATCTGCCCCAGCACCTTTCTCTAGGATTAGAAGTTGCCTTGACAGTAGTATTTATAGTAAATTCCATATTCCAGAAATGACCATTTCAGTGGAGTGACTGTTCCTTTGCCACTGCTTCTCCACCATTGCTATTGGTTGCTACTTATCAGAGGCTTCTCATATTGTAAAGAGTACTTGCCTTTAGATTGCTCACAGTAATGTTATAAGTCTAAAGTGTAAAGGCCATTTAAATTGAAGTACATTACTAACATATTCATAAATTTTCTGAAATCTACTCTCTGTCTAGATTAGTTTGAAAACATTATAAACTAATCCCCTGCTATTTTGCAAAGGATTGTTTTTTTTTATTTTACACACTGTAATTTACAATACTGTTATTGATAGCATTTATGCATAAAATGTTGCAGCATCTTATCTTCTGTAAGAGCTTCCTTCCACCCTAGTCCTAGTGTCCCCTTCCTTAACTGAAAGAGAATATAAACTTATGAATGAAGACATAGTATGGGTAGCACTATATTAACATATTATATTGGACTCCCACACTTTATAAGTGATTTGACCCATATCAAGCAGGAAACCTAGGAGGAAAAACATAACTGTAGGGTTAAAAAAAAAGAGAGACTGAAGTTTAATCTACTTCAATCTACATGAAGTCTCCCCTTATACATTAAAGAGAGATATTTAGTATAACTATGCAATATCATAAAATTAATATATGAACTAATATAATTTCAATTAAAACCATAATAGAGCTTTTAATAGTTTTTTAAAAAGATGATCCTAAAATTTATACACAGATGTACAGTGCTAAGAATAGTTATTATGGACTTAGAGAATAATTAGATGGAAGATTTTACTGATGAAATATTTAGATATATTAAATATGAGTAATAATCAAGATAGTGTTATATTTATATGGCTACATAAACAGAAGAAAATGCCTTCGGAAAAGACCCACATTCAAAAATGTAAAATATAATTCTTGGAATTATAACCATGGAGTAAAGATAGGTGATTTTATAAATGGTACTAGTATCATTTATTGGAAATATAGATTACCTACTTCACT